GGTCACCATGAGTCTCAATGGACCCAAAGGCCATGGGCGTAGTTTGGGTTAAAGGACATCTATGTGCTTGCTAATCAATTCTAATTTCTTACGTGGCACACGTTTCCTCCTGTAATTGCCCTGCTGCTTCTTAACCACCGATTCACTGCCACTGAGTTCATTCCTACTCATAGTGACCTTATAGGACAGGATAGGATTACCCCGTGGGGTTTTAAGGCTGATCAATCGTTACAGGAGCAGAAAACCTCGTTATTCTCCCATGGAATGGGTGCACATTCAACCACTCACCTTGTGTTTACAGCCTTGAAGGTGACAGTTTGGAGTTGCTTTCCCAGTAAGTGATAGGGTTAGAATCTATTAATGAATTAAGTGTAAATAATATATACATACATATATATATATACACACATATATGTGTATATCTGTAAGGTGTCAAGTTTTAAAAGTGTGTAGACGTGGTCTTTAATGCTTGTGGCTGTTAGCAGCTACCCAGTCAGCCCTGCCTCCTGGTGACCCCAAGCGCCCTCCCCAACTGGGCTGCAGAGTATACTGTTGTGCTCAGAGAATTTTCAGAAACAAATCCCTTCACAGTCTGGCTTTTAAGTTTCAGTCATGGGAATTGAAAAGACGGGGAAAAAAGGTACAGCAATATGTGGTCCTTCGCTGAATCCAGGACCCCCAAGCCCACTGGTGTCCAGTGGATTGCATCTCACAGCGAGCGACCCTATTGGGCAGGGTAGAACTGCCCCAGCGGGTGTCCAAGACTGAGACTAAACCCTGAGGAGGTAACAGACTAACTCTTGAAAACACTGGCTTGGCTAATTAAAGGCTTGTTCCTGCTCGCATGCATCTTATCTTATTTAAAAAAATAAAAATATTTCCTGATCTCCACTAACTGCAGTCCTCCGAGTCCTTTCAGGAGCTTATCAAGCCCCGTTCTTGACTCACCTTTCTTTGCTTCCCTGTTCAGAAGGGCCTCTCGGCCCCTGAGCTCCTGTGCTGTTGATGGATGGCACTGTCTGATGGTGCCTCGTCACAGATGCGAGCCTCTTCCAGGTCCCGCATGGCCCTTGAGGGCAAGAACTGTGTTCTTGAGGATATCCTCCTGTCCCCCACCACCCCTGGAGTAAACCACCCCCGGGATCTCTCAATTACATGGGGAGTGTGGAGGCGCCTTGACTTTTACCACTACATTCCTTCAACCTATCATACCTGGCCAACACGCATTTGCATCTTGGTGCCTCAAAAGTTAGACTTGTTTCTGGGTGTATTTGACCTGCTGACCCCCAAAATGACACCACTTTCTCCCCTCCCCCTCCCCCGATCTAGTTGTTGAGACAGAACATATGCCATATACCTCCCTTCTCTCTGTTTGTTCATAAAAAGGCAGGTTATTTTCATGTAGTATTGGCTGAAATCCAGAAGGTCAGCAGTCCAAGACCATCAGCGGCCGCTTCTCTGAAGGAAGAGGTGGCTTTCAACTACAGTAAAGAGTCACCGTCTTGGAAACTCACAGGGCCAGTTCTACCCTGTCTTACATGCTCGCTATGAGTGCATCCACTCGATGGCAGGGAGTTTGGTTTGGCTTAGCTTGACTGGGATAGAGGAAGTGCGTGCTGGGTTTATTTAAAGTGGTTTGTGTTGTACTGGATATTTAGATCAACTTACACTTCGGCCCCCAGAGGAGCCCCTACGAGGGGGCTCCAGGCCCAGAGGGGCAGCTCCTGGACAGTCATGAAGGCCTGTGAACAGACTGGGATTTTTGTATATTTCTTTTCTCTCTCTTTTTACCCCCTTTTCTTTACTCCCTTTTCTTTTTCTTCTTGTTACTTCTCCTTTTCTCTTTTCAATCTTTCTTTCTTTTCTTTTTAAAAAAATCAGTTTGGGCTATGTCATAGTTGGTGTGCCTACCTATATAGGATAGGCACGGGGGTGGGGGGCCTGCCCGAGGAGAGAGTGGCAGGACCAATGGTCCTGGGGAGACCTGGGGGTGAGGGTGGTGGGGGAAGGGAGCAGTGAGCAGACAGCACCATGGACAGGGGAACAACTGGGGTGTTGGAGTCAATGACAAGGAGCTAGGGAAGGTGGTGTCTGAGAAACAGCAAATTAGCTAAGAGGAGGTACCAGGTGGCAGAAATAAGGGGAAAGTGACGGTGGGGTAGGAGGAAGGTAAAAGGAAACAGACATAGAACCTAGGAAGCAAAGCAATGGATAGAGGTATAACTGTAGCATGTAAATACAATACATTAATCCACAAAAATAGAGGTATTGGCCCATGTACATATATATTTATATGGCAATACACTGAGGTAGGGGATGGACTTCAGGCCTCTGCTCATACTCTCCCTCAACACAAGGACAATTTGTTCTAACAAATCAGCAGTCTGAGATGTTCACCCTCCCAACACAATTGCTGAAGACAAAATAAGTGCACAAGCAAATATGATGAAGAAGACGGATGGTGCCCGGCTATTAAAAGATATAGCATCTGGGGTCTTAAAGGCTTGAAGTTATACAAGCCGCCAATCAGCAGAGAAGCAATAAGTCCACATGGAAGAAGCACATTGCTGGTGTGGTCATGAAGAATCATAGGGACCAGGTAATAGGTATCAGCAGACACATAACAAACAAACAAAACATACGGTTGAGAACAAGGAGGGGTTAGTGCAGAGATCCAAAGCCCATCTGTAGACAATGGAGCAATCTCCCCACAGAGGGGCCACAAGGAAGGGCTGAGTCACCTGGGTGCAGTAATGCATCAATGAAACACACTATATTTCTCTGGTTCCTTGAGGCTTCCTCATCCTCCACTACCATGACCCCAGTGCTGCTTCTCAATTCAGACTAGACCGGAACATGTACACAGGTATAGATAAGAGATGGGAGCTCATGACACATAGAATCCAGGAACAGGAGTGGGAATAGTGATCCCAGAAGGGTAGAGAGGAGAGGGAGAATCAATCACAATGATAGACACATAACCATACACCCCTTTCCAGGGGAAAGAACAACAGAAAACATGGGGGAAGGGAGACAGCGGTTGGTGTGAGGTATGAAAATAACAATGTACAATCTATCAAGGGGTTATGAGGGGAGGGGGGAAAGAGAAGCTGATACCGAGGGTTCAATAGAAAGTGTCTAGAAAAGAATGTACAAATTCACCTCATGCAAGCAATGTATGGATTGTGACAAGAGTTGCAAGAGTCCCCAATAAAATGAAAAAAAACAAACAAAACCCAAACCCTAAAACTTATATTTCAGAGGGTATCCTTTGATCCAAAGATATATTTGAACAGTGCAAATTACATGAACTTGGAATCTCCCCCAAGAATCACTTCACCTTTATTAGGAATGGAATAGCGGGCAGTTCCAACTTAATTTTTATTTGTGGCCCGTTTTTGGGGTTAACTGTACAATAAACAAGGAGCCCTGGTGGTGCTGTGGGGTATGTGTTTGTGACCACGACCACAAAGTCACTCTGTCAGAGAAAGGGGAGACAGACTTCCTGCTCCCATCAGATTCACAGCCTCAGAAATCCACAGAGAAGTTCCATCCTGTCCGGTGGAGTGGCTATGAGTCATAGCTGATTCGTAGGAGTAAGTTAGGTGCAATAGATGGAGGCTCAAGTGTTCTGAAACAGAATTCAAACTCCTTTATTAAAATGAAAATGTTCCAGTCTTGTTAGAATATGGTGCGACTTCTCCCCTGGTGCACAGAAACTCTAAAGAGAAAAGTGAAATGTTATTTTATAAGGAAGCGTGAGCTTAACTTCACCTCTGAGACATTTAACATAAAGTATCCACCGACTTCCAGATATGAAGTCAAAAGTGCTCTGAAATGCGTACTGCGTAATTTGAAGAAAAATTTAGATCTACAAAAAATGCTTGAAAATTGCTATGAAGTCTTGCATTTTCGACATTCTAAATGGCCCTACACCTTCCATATATGAGAGGGTACGCGTCCCCCCCAAGGGAAAACAACAACCACAACCAAAAAAATGCTTCGCTGGGTGGAGCTTTCATAGTACGCATTTTCATAGTATGCATTCCTGCTAGGTAAGCATCAAGTCCAGAGAATATCATTTCCCTCTCTCTCCTCAGCCAGTCTAGAATTCTCTTCCGTATACATTCTTGGCTGTTGGTGGAAGACACAAATAAGGCAAAAGATCCAAATTCAGCTAGTTCAAAGACAGTCTGAACAAAAGCCCCTGACCATTCTGGCAGGAACCTCCCTTTCCTTCTCATTTTCCTGCGTGGGACCCACATCTCTGTAGAAGATTTCCTCTGCTTTTCTAGACATGCTGCGTCTGTGCCTGCTCACTCACTTTCCTCAGCCTTAAAGCTCCTCTCCTCCCCTCTCCATTGCCCACACCTCCTCTGCCCTCCGGGGCCACAGCCCAGCCATCATCAGCTTCCTCAGCCCCACTCAGTCTAGGGCTGACACCTTTCTGATAGCACTCTGTACAGCCCTGATGGCAAACCAAAAAACCTCATCGCCATAAGACAGGGTCAAACTGCACCTGTGAGTTTCTGAGACTGTGACTATTGATGGGGGATAGAAAGGCTCACAAGCCGAGCCTGGTGGTTTCAAACTGCCAACCTTAGGGGTCACAGCCCAACAGGTAACTCCTACACCACCTGGGCACCTGTCTCTGATGGTCCTGTCAGGTCAAGGTTGAACTGTCAGGTAAGTGCAAAACCACGAGGGTGTCTGCTCCCGGAAGATGTACACCCTTGGAAACTTTATATAGACTCATTGTAAGGGCAATGGGCTTGGATTTTTTCTTTTGGTACAATTCTTTTTTTAAAAAAAATCATTTTATTTGGGGTTTGTACAGCTCTTATCACAAACCATACATCCATCCATTTTGTCAAGCACATATGTACATTTGTTGCCAACATTTCCAAAACATTTTCTTTCTACTTGAGCCCTTGGTATCAGCAACTCATTTTTTCTCCTCTTTCCCCCATCTCCCTTCCTCATGAACCCTTAATAATTTATAAATTATTATTTTTTTCATGTCTTCCCCTGACCGATGTCTCCCTTTACCCACTTTTCTGTTGTCCATCCCCCTGGGATGGAGTTGTAGGTAGATCATTGTGATTGGTTCCCCCTTTCGACCCCCACCGCCCCCTTACTCTCTTGGTATGGCTACTCTCAATGTTGGTCCTGAGGGGTTTATCTGTGCTGGATTCCCTGTGTTTCCAGCTCTGATCTGTACCCACTGCCAGGAAGACCTCAGATGTATTTTGCATTTGAATTTTGAATTACTTTCTGGTCATTGCATGTTCAGAAACTTTTTCCTGTTGTCAAAATTTCCATGACCCCCTACATTCAGTTATGCTACCCTATGCTGGGGCCCCAACCCACTTGTAAGAAGCTCTGAATTCTGTATTAAAGGCCCAAGGCTATTGCTATAAGACTAATTTGATATTATTTGTTAGAGGTAGATAGAACTCGCTATTTGGATTTTATTCGGTTTGAATGAAATTCCAAATATTTTTGGCTTCAAAACAATCAGACAAACACCTTAGAACCATCCCTGGCCTTGACTTTTTTCTTTCAGGTATTCAAGATAAACTGGACTACATCAGGAATTTAAATATAAAAACAGTTTGGATTACTTCATTTTATAAATCATCCCTTAAAGATTTCCGACATGGTGTGGAAGATTTCCGGGAAATTGATCCCATTTTTGGAACAATGAAAGATTTTGAAAATCTGATTGCAGCCATACATGATAAAGGTAAATTTAGCAGAAGCTGCTTGGGATGGAGGTGGGAGTTGGGAAAATATTTCTCCAAATGCTTACTTATAACACTCCCCACTCCCCCATCCTTAACTGTCATGTAAACTAATAGACTCTTTTTCTAACATTTGCAATGTTTTCATTCATAAGGTTTAAAATTAATCATCGATTTCATACCAAACCACACCAGCAATAAACATGTTTGGTTTCAATTGAGCCGGAACCGGACAGAGAAATACAGTGACTATTATATCTGGCATAATTGTACCCACATAGATGGAGTGACCACCCCACCCAACAACTGGGTAAGTGCCGGCTGACCAAGTTGACAAAGGGAGAATGGGAAGCTCTTAAGCGATTAAGGTGGTTAATTAAAAAGTCCTTTTAAGGGGAAAAAAAAGAGAGATAGAAAGAGAGAGAGACAACTGATACAGTTTTATTATGGTTTTTAGCATGTATCAGCTCTTTATCCTTTTTTATGACTGAACAATATTCCATTGTCTGGATATGGATATACCACATTTTGTTTATCCATTCACTGGTCTCTGAAAATTTGAGTTTCCACCTTTGTGTGTGTGTGTGTGTGTGTGTGTTGTGTATTTGTATCTCTCTCTCTCTCTCTTTTTGATCAAGTTTTTTGCGAAGAAAAATCTCCCAGAGAAATAGAAACAAGGTCCCCAAGCCTCTGTTTTCTCCATCCTGCTGGTGTGTCCTGGAAGAACCCTGGGGACTGGGTTGCATGTTCGGCTGCCAACCGCAAGCTCAGCAGTTTGCAACCCGCACCGGCTGCACGGGAGGAAGAGGAGGCGCTCTCCTCCCATAAAGAGTGACAGCCTGGGAAACCCACACGGGCAGTTCTACCCTGCCCTACAGGGTCGCAAGTCACACCTGGTTCTTTGGCAGCGAGCAGGGCCGAGGATACTTTCCATCAGCCTCTCCGTCCCTTTGCCTCACTTCCCACCCTGTCCCGGTCTGGTCCCGTGTCCCGTCAGTTCACTCCGGTCCTGCTACACTTTGCCTTTTTGACCTTCTCATTCAAGAAACGCTGGCCATCAAGGAGTCCGGCCGCCCGCCTTCTCTGTGCCTGTCCTTGGTCATGGGTGTCGGCCAGCGGCCAGCACGGTCGGAAGCACATTCGCATGGCGTCCCCTGGGAAGGAGAGCGAGGCCCGGGGTGGTCCTGATCCTGAGCAGGTAGTGTCGTCGTCGTGTGAATGATGCACTGTTTTTTTGTCTGCCAGCTAAGTGTCTATGGCAACTCCAGCTGGCACTTTGACGATGTGCGGAAGCAATGCTATTTTCACCAGTTCAGGAAAGAGCAACCGGATTTGAATTTCCGCAATCGTGATGTTCACCAAGAGATAAAGGTGAGGACAAACACCCGCACGGACTTCTCTGCCACACGCACGGGGTTTCACAAAGCTGTCTTTCTGTTGAGCACCCGAGGCGCAGGCAGATCCAAGTAGCGGGATGCAAGGACCGGATGGAGGCTGCTGGCCGCCGGCCTCGGTCTCTCTGTACTCAGCGTGTCCTTCTCCAGCTCAGATCCCACTCACGTGAGACACAGTGGCCGGCAGTTCCTGTTTTGTTGGGCCGTTTTGCAGGTAATCCATGAGTGACACGTCTGTATTCATTCAGTACTCAGTCATTCACTGATTTTCTACTGTGTGGCTGAGCACGTGGCTGAGCACGTGGCTGCCGCTGCCCTAAGCCATGGGAACGGAGCAGAGAAAAGCAGCCTCACCCTCAAGGAGTTTTCAGGGCCCCGAGGGAAAGGCTGTAACTACATACATTGTGTGTGTGCGTCTACACATCTGCACTGATACATAGTACGTATGTGGTTAGATGCAGACGTAGTATGAGCGCTAAGGGCCATTGAGGGCCTCTGGATTGCCAGGGGGCACTTCTCCTTTGTCTAACGCAGTTAAGAGACTCCTGGGATAAGGAGTCTTCCAAAGACCTTCCTCTGAACGGGGACTTGTGACTATCTGGTGGGAGAGAAAGTCAGGCAGCGGGAAGAGCAAAGGTGTCCGTCAGGACCAACGTGGAGGACGGCAGGTGGGGTTGGTTACCCAGCCTTAGCAGATACAAATACAAGCCATCCAGGGACATGGGGGTTCAGACCAGGCCAGGGCTCATACCATATATGTGATGTGCTTGCACTGAAAAGTATCCATTGTTTGTGTGAAGTTCAAATTGAACTAGCTGACCTGTGCTTTCACCTGGTCACTACCAGCCCGGCCAAGCACCTCAGGCTGAGCCACTACCGCTCCCTCTGGCAGGTGCTGGCAACTGGAAGGAGCGAGGGAGGGGGGAGGCGAACACAGTGGTAACCCATGTGAGCTCTGACGGACTTGCCCTGCGTGGTAGCACTTATACCACCACCCGACACCTAATTCACAATACATGTGAGCCTCTCTCGTTGTTTCCTGTCTTGCGGTGCTATGGCTAGTGTGGGCCTGGGTTCAGGTCCTGGGTGGTGCTCTGAGGCAGGCAAGGAGGACCCAGTGGAGCAGAGCTGTGGATCCCATTCACAGTTCGTTCATGTTACCAGCCAAAGAGAAGCTGCAGCTGCAGTGTCAGACTCCCCAAGGGCACCTACACCCCCTTAGTTTCATTTGTTTTTAAAAGGAACAGCTTTATTGAGATGTAATTCACATATTGTACAGACTATAAAACCAATTCAGTGGTAATTTTTTTTTCATACAGTGGTTTTTTGTATGTGTGTCTATGCATCTATACCTCATATAAGTACATCCATACAATGGAATAAGGAGCCCTGGTTGATAGTGGGTTACTCGTTGGGCTGCTAACCGCAAGGTCAGCAGTTCAAACCCACCACTGGTTCCATAGGAGCATACTTCACCACTAGTTCCAAACATGTTCTTCACTCCACAAAGAAATCCCATACCTACCAACTGCCACTCCCCACGGCACCACTCCCACCCCCACCTCCCCACGCCAGCCACTTCCTGACAACCACTCATTTACCTCAGTATTTATGGCTTTTCAGGTTCGTGGAATTATGCAATGTCTATACACCTTGGGAGGTGGCTGCTTTCCCTTAGCACAGTGCTTTCAAGATTCATCCGTGTTGTAGGCTGTATTAGTACTCCCATTCTTTTGATGGAAAATATGCATAATAGTCCATTGTATGTATAAAAAAACACACGGTCATTGTGGCAATTTAATGTCTAACTTCCACATACACATGAGGCAACTGAAAATATCATGGCTTGGGTTAATCCTCACACTAGTCCTCAAAGTAACATCTTGCTTTTTCAGCACTTTAAAGAGGTCATGGGCAGCAGATCTGTCCAATGCAATGCGTCATTTGATCTGTTGACTGCTGCTTCTATGAGCATTGACTGTGGAGCCAAGCCAGACGAAGTCCTTGACAGCTTGTCTTTTCCCTGCTTCATCATGATGCTAACCATTGGTCCAGGTGTGGGGGTTTTTGTTCTCTTTACACTGACTTGTAATCCCTACTGAAGCTGCAGTCCTTGGTCTGCATCATCAAGTCCTCCCCACTTTCAGCAAGCAAGGTTGTGTCATCGGCATATCGCAGGTTCATACTTCTCCCTCCAAATCGGATGCGGAATTCTTTTTCAGACAATCCAGCTTCTGTGTGTGCCTTCTCTCTCTCTATGTAGTATATCCATATATATGCATTCATATGAGTGTATATTCATATAAATACACCCCATAGAAGAGGATCTGTTCAGTGCAAACCCATTTGTCCTAGGGTCAGCTGGATATGTGTAGCCTGGTGGTGCTGCTGGCTAAGCACTGGGCTGCTAATCAACCACATCCATGGTTCAAACTCATTAGCTGCTCTGCGGGGAAAGACAGGGTTACCTGCTCTATGGATCTTTTTGAGGAGTATTGCCAGCTCAATATTACGCCTTCTGATACACGAACATAGACTATCTTTGTATTTACTTGCGTGTTCGTTTTTACTGTGTTTTCTATTTTTCAATGTACAAACCTGCCCTTAGTTTGTGAAATGTATTTCTATTGACTCCTTGGTCATGAGACCATTTACACTGTGTATGTTTGAAGCTCTCCAGAGCTGAGATGCATCGCATTGGCATCTGTATAGAAATGGGCACGCTGAGTCAGGGGTAGGGAGGGGCGGAGGCGTGGTCAGCAGCCTAACTAGGGGGTACCATACACACCACCAGTGAAACTGTGGACGATTTCTTTTCCATCACCAAGGATCATCTCCCATCCACCCTCCTCTGTCAGGCTCTCACTTTGTGTCAGGCACTTTACCTGAATGCCCTCATCTCACTCTTGCAACAAGCCCAACCCTGAGCTTTCAGGACCGTTTTACAGAGAAGGAAACGGGCTCAGTGAGGCACAGTGGGCTGCCGTGGGAGTGGTAGAGCAAGACTCCAGGGACATCTCTGCTTCATGGTTCCTGAACACACCCCCACCCCCACCCAGCCCCTCGGGAGGCTTTCAGTTGGAAATTCTTACGTGTCAGTTTAAACTATCGGTTTATCCCGTGGTGGATTCCCCTGGCTCTCTATGGGAATGGTGATGGATTATCTAGAGATGTTCAGATGAGGGTGATCAATTTGGCCAACATGTGCCAGCCAATAGGTTAATTCTGTGGGGACTCCCACCCCCAACCAACACCCCCCCCTCCCCCGCAGGCCTGCCAGGAGGTGTGGAAGGGAGTCTCCCTTACTGTTCCCGTGCCCCGCCCCCCTGCCCCAGGATGAACTCCCTCTTGGCATGCATGGATCCCAAGACATCATTTGCCAACCTGGTCTAAACGATTTCCCAGTAGAAGTAACTAAGACAGGCTGAAAAGCTAGGAGGGAAAGTTCTTTTCTCTTGGAGAGAGGTTTTTCACTTACAAGAGACCTCTGGCTAACACCCTCCCACCCCCCACCCCCCACCCCCAAGGCAGTGCTTTATCTCTGCAGGAGAGTTAAACAGGTTAATCATTTGCAACCCAGAGGGTTTGGATCCGTGGGGTGGCACTGCTTACCTGCCAGCTTGTACTCACTGTGCCTGAGCTATGCTGGGGCATCCACCTAGAGAGGACTGAGTCTTCTCCTCGGGAGACTGGGCACATATGGGGCACCCAGCACACCCACCTTCCTCTCCCCTCCTGCCTTCTCTTGCCTTAGAAGGATCTGAGTGCTTTTAGCTGGGGAGGTCTGGGGGGCTTCTGGAAACAGGCGGGGGAGAGGGGAGCTTGTGTTGGTGTAGTAGTCTCTACTCTTCCAATCACTCTGGCTTTTACTTGCCTCCCAAATGCCTGATGGGACAAATGAGGACACTAAAGCTCAGATGGCAGTGACCCAGGGGCCCTGCAGCTTAGCCGAAAGAGTGTGGAGAGCTGGGTCCCTTGTCCAGGGCTCAGGGTGCTCCTGACTGCCATGTGGGAATGAGGGGCCCGGGGTGGGGGCTCCTGGGCCATCAGTGCAATCTCAGCAGGTGGGGATGAGAAGCCAATAGGCCCTTCCAGAGCACAGGGATTGGCTCGCCCACTCCTAACAAGCACCGTATTGCCAGCCATTCAAAATGTAATTCACTCACTGCTTCTCTTATAAACCAGCTCCATGGTTGATGATCATAAATGCACCATATGTGAAGCTACTCCTATATGCCTAATGCTTTATAATAAATCATTCACTTATTTAATAATCTGATATATTCCAAACTGACCGTGTGCCCGGGATAGAGCAGTTAGAAAGTTCCAGATGGAGCTTCTTGGTGGTGGGGTATCTCACAAATGACGCTTAGAGATCTACTTCCTGTCCCTGAAAATCCTGAGAAGTGACAGCTGGAACTGGTAACCAGACTGCGTCACTGGTTATTATGTCTAGAAAATGTGGAATTAGAACAGGTTTGATTTGTATATTTTCACACACAATTAAGAACCCACTTTTGGCGCACAGTTCTACTCTGAGACACATGGGTCACCATGAATTGGAATCTGCTCAGTGACAACTGGCTTAGTTTCCTAGCTCACTCCTCACTCACTCACTCACCGCCATTGAGTCAATTCTGACTCACAGTGACCCTGTGGGCTATGGTAGTACTGTCTCCTGTGGTAGCTTGCCCTGACGAGTAGAGAGGCTCATCTTTCTCTGGCAGAGCGCTGGTGGATCCCAATCGTTGACCTTGTGGTTGAGAAGCCCATTGCAGGGCGCCTCGGTTTCTTGGCTAGGGTTGTATAAAGATGAAATGTACAACATTTGTAAAGCACTTAACTAGGTCATAGTTAAATCATCCACAAATGAACAGATGAATAAAAACCATTATAAAGTGAAAGGAACAAAAGGCATACAATAAACCCCCAAGGAGCGCTGACTTTGAAAGACCCTTAAAATAGACGGAAGGAGTC